GTGTCATTGTGATCAGATGTTGGCGTGGAGATGTCACTGTGGCGGCGTCACTATTGTTGGCGTTACTGTGACCGGCAATCATCCGTCGAAGGTAGTGGTGGATGTCAATGTGTTCGTGTCACTATGGCCAGAATTTGGGGCGGAGATGTCACTGCGACGGTGTCACTATAGCCACTGGCGGTGTCACTGTGGCCGCCGACGATGGTGGTAGTGGTGACGGTGTCCCGGACAGTGGCAACGACATTGACACGGATGAGGGCTGCGACAGTGACATGGATGTGTGCAGTGACATAAATAAATCTTAGTCACATTTTTGTCCAAATGTAAATATGATCACTTTTTTGAAAATTAGTTTTAGTTCAGTAATATCGGAGGAAAACTCCATTTATTGTATTTATCCTTAAAAGGCTAAGGTCCTCAAATAGTGAAATAGGAATTTGGTCCCATGATAATGAATTCACACAGGCACAAATAGTTACGGTATAAATTCTTACGACATTAGGTACAAGTGCATAGCTTTGAATTATTCTGAGAGAGCCGCAAAGCTTATTTTGAGCGAAAGCGTGAGCAGAGAAATTCATCGTGTAAAACTTTCTGAGATCATTATCAATGAATCCTTCCCTGTTTCTTCGATCATTCTTTGTGTAACTTATTGTCTATTGCTGATTTCTGGGTCTAACATCCGATGTCAGAGCAGACGAGATACTGATCGATCATCTTCTTCGTTCGCACTCTCTCTGTACTCGATGAACAAATAGATGATCCGATCACCTGCGGTTTCAGCCTGAAAACTTCTCAAAATTGTCACATTATGATCGCCTTATCACAAGGATCATTTTTGTATAATATTGGTAACAAATAGATGATCCGATCACAAGAGTAATATTGGTCACTTTCGGGATGTAATTGTTGGAGAATTATGACACTGGTCATTGTGACATTTATCACTGTGTGTGGCATTGTCACCATAGCGGGTTACATTTTTGGAATTTTTTTAAAAATGTCACTTTTTGTAAATGAGTTCATTTTCAGTATATTGATATCACTAACCCTTAAATAAAATATTGAAAATTGTACAATTTTCTACATCAATGATGTAATTTTTTCAATAATTTATTTAACTCACTTCGCGATTGATTTTTAAGCTTAAATTTGAAGGACATAATCTACAATTCATAGAGAACATGTTCACAAAATCTTATCAACAAATTCAACCCGTAAACGCCTCAAATGAAAGCAGACTAAAATTTACAATTTTAGGGTTACCATACATGATCATTGTCATACATATACGTACATATGTGTATAATAAACCATAAATTCTTTGATTTTATAATATACTCTCTCCGTATTTTAAAGTTTGTTATACTTTTGTTTCTTCGATGTATTTAAAAGTTTGTTACATTTTCCTTTTTGGTAAGTTTCTCCTTTGTAAATCTCAATTACCCTTAATTATTCTAGTTTGTATCTTCTCTTTCATTCTTTTCCACTCTCTCCCACTTTTTCTATGATATTCGTTACCTTTATTATTTAATCCTTAAATAATGTGACTAAACCTATTGTAGTGAATTTTTAAATACGGAGGAAGTACTAATAATTATATTTGAATGAAACGAACAATTCACCGTCAATGTCTCTGTATATTTAGCATTTCAATTATTAATATAAATAAATTAATTATTCAAGTCATGCACCTTTTTCTTAATTTTTGACATTTTCAATAATTGTATTGTGCCTTTGATTTGGAGATAGACTTTATGTAAATTAGAGTTGTGACGACTTCACGCAAATACAAATGCATGTTGACTAATTAGGTTACCGCGAGTCAAGACGAGGTGTAGTTGCCCCGCATAGAATGGGTCATGGGCGGGACGGGTCTGGACCTTGTAGTACTCGCCCCCGCCTTTATCCGTGCAACAATTGCCTTGTGCACATCAAGTCTCACCTTTATATCACAAGAAAATAGAAAGTACAAGCACAAGATGACACCACAACTCACACACAATGAATTAGAGAAAATTATACTTGTTGAAAAATGAATCTTAAAAAGCACTTGGGAGTCGGGGATAATAAGGGTGTTGGAAAAATGTGTTAAAAATTGCATTAAATGGTCATTTTGGGGCAATTATTTGAGTGGGGTCCACTTTCGATTTGGGTCGGGTCAAAGTGGTTTCGGATTGACCTTGTTAAGGGCTACAATTCGATATGTGGTACACTCAAAACGGATAACGGGTGAATGAGAAATTGATTCTCGAAGTTCACTCGTTGAAATGGAAAAACTGAGAAAAAGGATGGATTTCTAGTAGGATTTATCCCACACCGGAAAATCCAAGGGATTTTCACCCCTTTATAAAGAGAACCCACCTTGAAGGAGTTAAGATTCCTTTGGGGAAAGGCTCTCTTTGAGTGCGGGGGGTGTCGATCAAATCTTGAAAATTGAGAAGAAAAAACCTTAACTTGTGTGCGTTGGTGACCTGTGGACACGAATGTCGTTCGAAAATCTATCATTCAAAGATACAATTTCATTTTTGTTTCTTCCCGTAACGTTTTTTTTTCGAGAACCAGAAATGCTCAGCGACAGAACTGCTCCAGACCAGAACACCTGAGAGGATCTGTGGTGGCTTCTGGACAGAAGACCATGAGGTCTTCTTGTTGCTTCCGAACAGAAGAGCACAGGGGAGTTCTGGTGCCTTCTCAACAGAAGACCAGAGAGCAGTTCTGGTGGGGGTGTTCTGGTCGCATACCTGAACCGTTACAGCAGTAAATGCTCAACGTTCTTATCTTTTAATGCAGCGTTAAATGGACAGTTCATGGACGATTCAATGCCTAATGGACTGGTCATTGATGTCCAACGTTCAAGTCCATTAAAGTTGAGTTAACACACCACAAATCCTCCTATAAATAGGACGACATGTGGACACGAATGTCGTCCGAAAATCTATCAATCAAAGATACGATTTAATTTTTATTTCTTCCCGTAACGTTTTATTTTTTCCGAGAACCAGAAATGCTCAGCGGCAGAACTGCTCCGGACCAGAACACCTGAGAGGATCTCTGGTGGCTTCTGGATAGAAGACCATGAGGTTTTCTTGTTGCTTCCGAACATAAGAGCACAAGGGAGTTCTGGTGCCTTCTCAACAGAAGACCAGAGAGCAGTTCTGGTGGGGTGTTCTGGTTTCTATACCTTTATTCTATAGAAGTATGTTGCGGATTCATACTTTTAGTTTCTCTTTGGTTTCTATTTGTATTTGGTTTCTATTTGTATTTTACTTGTTGAACTCTGTTTGGTAACTTCAAATTTTTAATAAATTTGGAAAGTGTTCCCCGGCGCTTTCCCCACCTCCAGTGGCCTCTCCGGGCAAAAAAAAGGTGGGGTGTTCTGGTCGCACACCTGAACCGTTACAGCAGTAAATGCTCAACGTTCTTATCTTTTAATGCAGCGTTAAATGGATAGTTCATGGACGATTCAATGCCTAACGGATTGGTCATTGATGTCCAACGTTCAAGTCCATAAAGTTGAGTTAACACACCACAAATCCTCCTGTAAATAGGGCGACCTGTGGACACGAATGTCATCCGAAAATCTATCATTCAAAGATACGATTTAATTTTTGTTTCTTCCCGTAACGTTTTATTTTTTCCGAGAACCAGAAATGCTCAGCGGCAGAACTGCTCCGGACCAGAACACCTGAGAGGATCTCTGGTGGCTTCTGGACAGAAGACCATGAGGTCTTCTTGTTGCTTCCGAACAGAAGAGCACACGGGAGTTCTGATGCCTTCTCAACAGAAGACCAGAGAGCAGTTCTGGTGGGGTGTTCTGGTCGCACACCTGAACCGTTACAACAGTAAATGCTCAACGTTCTTATCTTTTAATGCAGCGTTAAATGGACAGTTCATGGACGATTCAATGCCTAATGGACTGGTCATTGATGTCCAACGTTCAAGCCCATTAAAGTTGAGTTAACACACCACAAATCCTCCTATAAATAGAACGACATGTGGACACGAATGTCGTCCGAAAATTTATCATTCAAAGATACGATTTAATTTTTGTTTCTTCCCGTAACGTTTTATTTTTTCGAGAACCAGAAATGCTCAGCGGCAGAACTGCTCCGGACCAGAACACTGAGAGGATCTCTGGTGGCTTCTGGACAGAAGACCATGAGGTCTTCTTGTGGCTTTCGAACAGAAGAGCACAAGGGAGTTCTGGTGCCTTCTCAACAGAAGACCAGAGAGCAATTTTGGTGAGGTGCTCTGGTCGCACGCCTGAACCGTTACAGCAGTAAATGCTCAACGTTCTTATCTTTTAATGCAGCGATAAATGGACAGTTCATGGACAATTCAATGCCTAACGGACTGGTCATTGATGTCCAACGTTCAAGTCCATTAAAGTTGAGTTAACACACCACAAATCCTCCTATAAATAGTTGGCCGGGTGACAGGTGCTTTGCAACAAACACGTTCACAAGCAATCTGCACATAGTTTTTAGCTCTAAAAAATTCCTAAGTGTTCTAGCTTGTTCCCGTTCACCGGAACTTTCGTTTGTGTGCTCAAACGTTGGTTCGTTAACTACCGTATCATGGGAAACGGTCATTGCAACACTCCTAGCACCGTGAGAAACGACGAATACGTTTTAAGGACGTCGTGCATAGCACGAGCTCTGGCTAAACTCTGTCCCATCTATTTTCTGATTTTCTTTAATCATTTAATTAATTAATTTTATTAACTATTTACTTTGTTTTTCAAAACACACGTAACAAAGGTTATGTTTACAAACTATTAAAAACATTAATTTTCAACTTTTGACTTAAAAAGACAGAAATAAGTGTTTTCAAGTGACAATTTCTACTTAAATTTAACACTTCAAAGTTCAAAGATGAGAGCTAAAAACTACTTTTTACTTTTTCTATTACACAAAAAGCACATTTTTAACCAAACACTACTAACTATTACTATTAAGCACTCTTTTCCAAAATCACTTTAAAAATAATTTTTTAAAGGAGGAGAAATCGCAAACACTCTCTAATTTGTATATTGAAGTTACAGGTTTTTAAGTCAAGCAACATATCCATAGTTAGTTTAAGCCCAATGGTCATGCTCACACCGAAGATTTATCAAATCGATAGCATTTTGCCTGAAAACAAAAAAATAAGTACATAGCTATGAAAGGAAAAAACAAAAACAAAAACAAAAACAAAAACAAAAACAAAAACAAAAACAAAAACAAAAACAAAAACAAAAACAAAAACAAAAACAAAAACAAAAACAAAAACAAAAACAAAAACAAAAACAAAAACAAAAACAAAAACAAAAACAAAAACACGCTAGGCAACTTACCCTTCAACAAACACATAAAAACAAATCAAAATATCCCAACTCCAAGTCTGTAATTCTTCAACATTCACATGATACTCCATAGTCCATAACAAAAACAAAAGTTCTGAATCTCAAATGTCAAGAGTTTTCCTTTAGACTTCGCTCCACATATGCCTGCAAGATGATAAAAGAGGTGTTAGCTGAAATTCCTGAGGAACATCTTAAAGCCAAAGATAAATACAAGTTCAAAACATTATCAAGAATGCATTGGAGCATAAAAATATTTTATCTTTACCCCTAGTTCACAAAGCAGAACCCAAATCATATGGATCACCTCATTTTTTGTTTTCATTTTATTTTTTCCAGGGGTAAAGAAGCACCTCAATGGCTCCCCCATGTCGATAAGCATACACATCAACAAAAACAAATGAGTGCAATGCATAGCAAACAAAACTGACTCAAGCCTTAATCCCTAGTTTGGGTCATTTATATGGAATTATGGATCATCTCTTTTCCAAGTTCTCTTCCACGAAACTTTGAGCACAGCCCCGTATTCTTAATAACCTCTGCGCTGATTAGGTTTGACATACCTTAACGTTAAACTAGCCCCTATAGCTACAATGATTAGGGCTGCCACTTTGGACCAAAAAACCGAAAACTGAACCACATTGAAAAACCGAACCAGTGTAATATGGGACTTGGGAATTGGAACCCGCAAAAAACATGGTTTAATTTCGGTTCATGTACTCAAAAATTGGTTTGACGCAACCGAACCGAAAAATTTATATTAATGTTAATAATTATTACGGGGTATTAATTATCATTAGTTAAGGTAGTTAGCAATGCTGTGTAGAAAAGATATAATCCATTTGAACTTCGAATTAAAGACAATAAGAATGGTAATGAGGTGGTTGTAGAGCAGATACGGGTTTCCATGACATCACGTGTTCGATTCCCTGGTCAATCTTTATTTTTGAACTTTCAATTTTCTTTCCAAAACAACTTTGTCCCACACTAGAAGAAGAGAGGTACTCCTTAATTTTCTATATAACCTTCTAAGAAGCATAGAAATAACCTGGCAACCAATCTTACTGATTGGGCTTGGTATGAAAGTTAATGGGCTTATACGGCTCAAACTTCTATTGTTTCAGAATTGAAACGAATTATTATTCAACAATTTATTAAATTTTATATAGACTCGGTTTATTTGCTTTTCAGCTAGCCGATCCAAAAACTCGGCACCCAATAAATCAGTACCCGTTTCTTAATGGTCTCAGTTTCAGTTTTAATTTTTTGGATAACCAAAATGTCAATTGCTCCTACAATGGACAGTATCGGTTTGTGGCCCAAACTGAATCCAGCTCTAAACCATATTACCTAAATTTTATTTATCTTCGATTAGCACGTACACCTTACTTCTAACCAAACCATTTTATTACAATCTCTTTTGTAGGTTCCAAAAAATTAAGAAAAACAATCTAATGAATAATGATTGGCTTCAACAAACTAGCCAAGAAAAGAAACAGAGTAATCACCTGTGCCAGTTTGTTAATTTTGGCTTTAGAACAGGACAGATAGTGCTCAATTTTATCTTGACTTTTAGGGAAATGATCTCCTTGAATACTACCCATCACTTTATCAACCACCTTCTTAACAATAGTCTTGTGTACTTCTCGGCTCATCCGACCTTCTTTCCATTTCGGCTTCAGGATCTCTTTGACTAACTCTATAAGAGCAATCTTGAACAACCGTGTAATCTTATCATCTTTCTTACCATACACCTCTTCACACTTACCAGTGACACTGACACTGTAAGGGTTATTATTTTGTTGCTCATCCCCACAATCATTGGTAACAAGTCTATTATTTTCATTCAGTTCTGATTTAGCACCAGACTCCTGCTGCTTCAAACATTGATCCCCGGTGCACTCTACATTTGAAGTATTATATTGCTTTATGTGTCCAGCTTCGGAGTTGAAGGAAGATGATTGATTCATTTGCTTTAAAGAACCTTTGGTTCCATGTTGACTCAACTTGGAGGCATTGACAGGTATTACAAAGTTGTCAGGCATACCCCATTGAGATTCATCACCATGGGCTTCGCACATATCTGAATCATTTATAACTGGATCGACTCTAGAATATACAGCATTGAAGGTCGGAAGCAGTCCAGGGTTGGAAACGGAACAGAGAACTGATGGAGATGCAACTTCATGTTGCTGAGATTTTCCTGCCTCATACTCAAATTTCTTTGTGAGAGAAGCTGGAGAGCCATGCATTTCAGTTGTGAGGGCACTGAATGTAGCACCAGAAAGACTTAAATCCAGCACCTCTGATCGGGTGGCAGCTTCTTTATTCTGATAGCACGTACTATCTTTTGGAATGATACTATGTCCATTTAAAGGGATGGCATGCAGCTTAGAATCACCTTGGGCAGCTCCATCCAAGGATGAGGAATATTCAGAACCTAGGTTAGACCTCTCACTAACTTCATTGAATCTTTGTTCTGGTAATAAAACTGGATGGGTAGTCTGAGTATCGATGTTAACATCATTTAACACATTAGATATATTTGTCTTGCCAGTGTCCCGAAAAGGATATGACTCAAGAGGAGGATTTGACATTATGTAAGGGTGAACAACATTGCAGGGAAAACCCCCATGAGAAGCATCTTCCATTTTCTCCTGTCTTTCGCCATGAACTAAACTTCCGCCCAGACTTGGGAGTAGTGACGCTTGAGATATAGCATTACTGTCATGGTCATTACTGGAGCTTTTCAGAGTAGATTCAACTTTAGGATAAACATCTCTCTCCTCGCACGAAGTTGTATTTTTCCACATAGCTCTCCCATTTTCCGAATTGTGATCCGACCTACTATTTGTCTGACCAAAAGTTACAGTAATATCAGAGTTTTCCCTAGCAGCAGTGTAAAGATGCTCATTAGTCTTCTCAAGATTAGAAGTTCTAGCTGTATCATCATCCCACACTGATTTGTTCCACAACTCATTTGAGTTAACCAAGCCATGATCCACGATGTGACCAACTCTATCAGTATGAACTGCATCTGAATGGTTTGATATTGCTACACTCTCACCTATAGGAGCCATATTGAAGCTAGAGTCCATTTCTGCATCATCCCACCTTAGGTCATCCCAGTTATGCTTTTTATCATCTAATCTGTGGCCACCTACGTTATTAGAGGGACTAATTCCAACATCTGTTTGTACAGCACCATCGTGAGAAAATTTGCAGTTTTCGCTATAGCACTTTCCCGCAACAAAGTACTTGCACAGACGTCTACTAGTTTTATTTGGTTCATGCTTCCAATTGTAATCAGGGGATGTATTCCTGATACTACTATCATAGATGTGACTAGAAGACCCAGAATGAGAAAATCTGCAAGATGCTCCCCAACGGCACTTACCTCTGCCAAAATCTTTGCAAGTAATGACACCTCTATTATTCCTGGGATGTTCACTCTCTATATTATAGAGATCAGGAACCTTACCCCGACAACGAACTTCAATGGTTTCGCTATTCGCATATCTTGAGACTTCTGCACTCTCATGCCCACCACTCCATCTTTCTGCAAGGTTGTGCTCTACAGAATATTTGTCCTTAACCTTAAAATTATCTGGATGAAAGAACCTACATTCACCACCTCTCTTACACCTCCCACTGGAAAATTCTCTACAGACTTTTGATGACATTCGAGATCCAATTTGTCTATCATCCCATTCATATGAATCACATTTCTGATTTGGGGGAGAACCATGACTTCTTGGCCTGTCTCTGAAATGACCCTTGTCCCTACTCTTGCTTCTACTTCTACTCCTCCATCCTTTCTCCCTACTCCAGCTGCGGCTTCGGCTCCTGCCTCTTCCTGGAATCCTATTGTTTTAGACAATAAGAAACATATAAACGTTGGCAGTGAATTTTATGAAACTAACTTCTTTCTCATTAGTATTGGCAATCAATCTAAAGTCACAAAAATATTTATATTACAGGAAAAAATAAAAAACAAACATAAAAGATTGTGCAGTCTCTCACTCAACAAAACATTTACAATGTCACCTAACTCTATAGGAGGAATCATCATGCCTTTCCACTACCACTTCCAGAATATGCTGGAATGAAAGTAGAATGAAAGTATGCATTTAAAAATAAAAGCCTGAGAAAGTTTGTCGTCAATCCGTTAAGAACATGCATCATATGATAACATAAAGTCACATACCTGCGAGACTGATTCAAACCATGTTCAGAAAACTTGCTATTCCTTTGCTGCCTTGGTCCATCAAAAGTTGGAGACGTGTTTTCTCGATAAAACTTTCCCCTCTTGTGCCCCTCAGTTTCTGGAACACGCTCTGCATCCTTGCTGATCCTCTTATTTGGTTGCAGTTGACTATTTTGCGGTGAGTCATTCCAGCTAGAATACCTATTGGATGAACTATCAGCTTTTGAAGAATTCTGCTCCTTGAAACGTCTTCCATCATGACTGGGATACTGACCCTTCCCAACCCAAGCATTTTTTACATCGACCTCATGATGAGAAGAATTTTCATCGGAATCCCAAAAAGACCTGCGCTTTTTTAGACTTTCATCCATAACGCCTTTGTTTTCAAATATCAACTATGTTATCTCCTCAATTGTGGCATGCTCTGAAAGTCGATGGAAGAAAATAATTACACAAAATATCTTACAACAATTACATCAGAAAAACAATATGCAAATTCATGCATTTATTATTAATATGCCCCCACAAAGTAACGCCTCAGTGTATACAACAGGTATAAAAATCCACAGGGAAATGAGAAACTACAAAGCATGTCTTCAAGACTCAAGGACACTGATGTGTGTGGCATTCAAAAAGAACAATCGCAAAGCTAAAAATCACAATATAAATAGTTCAAAGTGGATGCATTGCAACATTTTGCCTGCTGATAGGAAGCACAAATGAAACTTCCCCGAATGCGACTAAACTGTTTGGGTTGTTCTTATTATCATATGGAAGCGTTAATGTATTCAGATAGAAAATCATCTCATGGTGGAAGCATGATGAAGTAGAAACAATTACAAGTTCCATAACAAAGTTTGACAAAACCAAATGTTTGTAATTGTGCATATGCGCACACATTTGGACCAAATACAGAATACAGATTAAGGTGTTGCCTAAAATAAGCAATGATCAAATTTAGGGCTAATGTGTAAGCCTCATGGAATATGCAATGATGCGGATGTGAGGCATACACAACATTATTATCAGGGTTTTACTTAATTAAGTTGGTTCACTTTCAATAGCAGTCCATTTTTCCTTAAAAATTTTCACAGGTAATGCAGAGATATCAACTTCTCTTCTCAAGTCTTAACTTCTTGGATTCTCTTTTCTCGCCTGCACGAGGTATGTTTTTCCAGTTGATGAGGAAAAGGTTTTAATGCACCAAATCCCCTAGTTTTATACAAATTATGCACATTAGGCCCCTTGGGGTTTAAAAGACGCGTCAAACCCCCATGTGTTATGATTAATCATGAACAAAAACCTCTCCAAGAACAAACTTAACATTTGAAAATCACTTGGTCTTAATATTATACTTGAATATGCAAGTAAATTTGTCAAAATCTCTAAATTGTTCAAAAATACTAATCATTTTTCCTTTACTCAGCAATTAAGTTTGTTCTTGGAGGGGGGTTTGCGCATGATTATAATTTATAACACGGGAGTTTGATGCATTTTTTAAATCACAAGGCACTAATGCACAAAACTATCATATATCACAAGGAGATTTGGTGCATTAAACCTTGAGGAGGAGGAGGAGGAGGATGGAAAAAATGATAGTGAATTTTGACCCTATTTCAAAACACTATTTTCATTAATTAATCTATTGAACTTTAAACTTTATGTGTTCGCACATTTAATGCTATGTGATGCATGAGCAGTTGAACTTATAATATTGATGGGTTGATGAACTCAACTCATTATTGTTCATTTAGAGTTTAGATTACGGGAGATGCACCTATTAGACGACTATAGGGGTGGGAGAAGAGGCAGAGAGGAGAGGGAGGGGAAGACCCAAACAGATTTGGATTAGAGGAATCAGAACTGATATGTGTCTTCTTGGGTTTGATGAGGGTATGACTTTGGAGAGAGCAAAGTGAATGGCGCACATTCGTTTGGATGATTGATCTCTTTTCTATTTTTCCTCTCACTTTTTCTTTTATCGTCTATCTTCTTTATCTTTTTATGTTCTAGCTTTTTTATACTCTTTATCTTTTTATCCTTTATCTTTCTTATGTTTTTATGTTATTGTTATCTTATATTTATATATCTTTATCTTATCCGTTTTGTCTTCCTTTTTTTTCTTGTCCATCTTCTCTTTTTGACATTGATATCATGGATCGATTCATGTTAGCCGACCCCAAAATCTTTTGGGATTAAGGCTTGGATGTTGTTGTTGTAGAGTTTAGATTTCGGGTTCTTACAATTACCAATGGGGCTTAAGCAATACACAATTCTTGCAAACTAACTCAAATTGCGCAATATGCGATTGCGAACATTGACAAAACCCGAAACACAATATCTCAATTTCTAAAAGAGTGGAAAATGAAAGTTATAGAATTCAACATCACAAATTCAAAACAAACGCTCAGTACATGAGCAAACGCAATCAAGTCAATGTTTTCTCCAACTTGACTCATTAAATATATCATACTTCTATGAACTTTTTACCATAGGAACATACATACATGGGAACAGTGTTAGGGACTTTTGCATGAGAAACCAACCAGGAAATTCTAGTTCAAAGCTTTAAGAACACATTGATTTTGTTATTTTTTTAAAACAAGGTCAAAATGTGACGTATGTAGGAATTTGCAAGGACAAACAAGTGTAGGCATGTAGCAAGTGCAGCTAGTGTAGTTCAATGTCTCACTGAGGAAACAAGCTCTCATGACTATGAGGAGCTTCTTAGGCATTTCGCTAAAACATCAGTTGTTCTTGAGTTGAGGTTCCACGACTTCTCTTGCTTCAGATCAAGCAATATACGATATCATCAGCTATAATGGATGAAGATGATTGGTTTCAAGCGCATGAAACTGTTACAAGTCAAGTTTCTTTCGAGTCTTAAGTCCGAGTAAAAAGTTTTTATTCAAATTTCAACTTCGGTCTAGAGACTTGTTCAAGTTGAAGTGAAGATTTCATGTCAAAGCTCATGTCAATGCTCAAAAGGCAAGTTCAAATTGAAGATTAGCGGTTTGAAGTCAAAAGTTAGCTATTGTTCAGGTTTAAGAACAAGGTTCCAAGTGTAGAATGTGAGTTGAGAACTAACAAGCTTAGGCATATATGCTTTAGCTTGAGGAGGCTTTCCAAAAAAGTGAGTGTTAAATGACAGTTAAGCATCCATGGAGGTTAGTTGATCTTAGGTGCAGGAGCCCTAAAATCAGACTCACCCACTTTTAAAACTCAGCGCAATTATTTGTGTAATATAAAGAGTTTTTCCTTCACTGGAAAGGGGTGAGAAATAAGGTTTGTTGGTATGAGGTATTAAAAAAGGGTTGTGTTAGTGTTGGGTTACTTGTTTCCAATATCTAACATGATACTACCTACATTATGAAAGCCATATATGCAGAACAGAGAACTCTTCTTTATTTGTAAAAACTTGACTTGCAAATTACAAGTTCAATTTTTAAAAAAACTATTAGAATGCTTATATAGAGAAGATAAAATGGGCCTCAAGAGGGGGCATCTACAAGGTTGACACAAAACTTAACTTTAAATTTGATACTAGAAAATGGAGATTTGAACTTCAGTATAGTTTACTTGACTTCACTTCTACTCAATTTAATGAACTCTATTACGCTCTACATAGCCGACCCCAAAATCTTTGGTGAATAAGGCTTGGATGTTGTTATATTAAGTTCTACATTACTTCAGGTGTATTCTACGGAGTTCTACTTTGTTTGACTTTACTTAATTTAACGTAACTCAGTGGCTATATCGAGGACACCATTAACGCCATCCCTTGTCTTCTTCACTGGTGAGGAGATAAACGCTTCTTGTTTTTTGTTAGTATGTATCATAGGAGTCGATGGAGTATATTCAGAAGCTCACCACGATCCTTTATTAACAGAAATAAGTTGGGGAAAGATACAGGACACCGAAAGATGATTTCAATCCACAAGAGAATCATTGGGAGCTTGCAACTGGATCTGGATAGTTTTTGGAGAAAATGGCATCTAGATAATCCTCATGCATTACCATGTGGCCCAAAGTCACTGACGCGGTGTTGGCACATGGCAGAGAATATGGTGAGGCAGCGACGGACTTCTAGGAGAAGCTTTGCAGCGAGATTGTGTGATCAGTTTCTGCAAATAAGTGAACAGCTACATGAGATGCTTTGAATCGGAGTGATAGTAGCACCTGCAACGATAGACTACTTTAGGGAAATGGGGTTTTTAATCTACCATTGTACAAGGGCTAGACTCTTGAATCTTGATGAGCCACTAAGCCAATTCACTATCCAGCAGTTGGTTCAAGTTTAAATCCTAAATCCATTTCATCTAAATTGAACAAGAAAAGATTTAAATGCATAAAATAAAACATTGTTTGACTTAATTATTGTCCTCCTCAAATCCTTAATGAAAAATCCGCTGATCCAAAACCATTATATCTCCAAAAACATCTACAGACAAGGTTAAAAGAACACATTTCTGCTTATTTTATGACATACATGAAGAGGGTCTATATTGATTAGAAGTAAAATACACAACCACTGAGCAGTGGCCAAAGATTTTTGTCCAATAGCAAGATAAAGTCTTTTTGCCCTATATATTTTGCGTTTTGAATAAAATAGATCCCAGGCAAACCAAAACCCTTAGCCTTACAGATAGGAGAGCAGTTCTAATTTGTATTTTTTCTGTGTTTTCTCATTCTGACTCGGAGACTCAAGCAGACAACAACATGGGCTGTACGGCGGTTGGTGGGACCCAATCTACAACTTCATCTGCGTACTCAGTTCTCCCAAGGTCCGACACAGGCACACAACAAAACCCAAATGGCCAAACAAAGTCATCACCATCGTCCACTAGTCCGTCAAACTTTTTTTCTGAGCTAGCAATTGCAGCTTAGAAATTGAAGAGGGTTAGGTAATTAGGTTGTCGCTATAAGAAATTGCAAGATTTGCAGCAATGAAAGGTAATTCCAATTCAATATACTACGTATTATATTATTCAATTGTACTTTATGATTTGTGCATTATTGTATCATTAAAACTTTTTTAATTAGCTGTGAATTTTGATATGCATATCGGTTATGAATTTTGAATTTTGTTTCGTTACATACTTATACATTCATATTGAATTTGTGAAATTTGGTTATTTAGATTGGATATAATAATACTGAGAATTTAATGATTGCTTGATTCCTTGTGTTGAAAAGGAAATGTTTGATGAGTGAGTCGATCTTACAACAGTTTATAGCACTCTTAACGTATTGTTGTTCCAAATATTTTATCATATTAATGGTTGAACTATGATTTGATGAATATTTCTAATGATTTAATCGGGTTTGATCTTGTCCCCTCCATATAGTTCCTGGATACACAACTGCCACTGACTAACTGACTACATCAGCAGATAAGAGAAGCTTAAACTGATAAGTAGACCGTGGGAAACCCTAGGTAGAGAAGAATGACATACACGCACCTACATTCATCCGTAATTCACATAGATACATATACACATTCGTAATACCACTAATACATGTACACACATACACTCCAGTCGATGCACAAATACATTTGTGCATAAAGAGACAGAAGCTGACCTAGGGCAATGGAGAGAGCGGAGAATGGTGAAAGACCGACGGCGAAGAACACAGCCTGCTTATTCCTTATCTTTTCTCTTCTCTGCTTTAAAGGAGAGAAGCGGAGCTGCGCGGTTAGAAAGAGCAGAGAGCCAGAGAGTGTCGTGTGCGCTTGACCGCGACGAATTTTACTGCTCAGCGACTCCAGTTCTTTGCAGCGTTCCCAGTTTAGGTTTGAGCAGATGAGCCTTGTGGCCCTTTACCTATCTACAACTCAAATACAGAGTAGAGTGGGTTGATTGCATTTGCTTCTTCCTCAACATTTTATCACATAAATCTTGAAATGTTTAAAAACTACTCGTAACCTCGATTGGATGTAATCACTTGTATAGTTAGTTGTACGTGTGTGTATAAAAAAAATCGTTTGGCCACAATTAGGGGTGGACTCCGGTCCGGGTCAGGCCTAGGCCCGGGCGGGCCGGCGGTTCAGGAGTGATGGACCCGGGACCGGTCCGGGTAACCACCGGGTCCGAACACCGTCGTTCGGGGCGGTTCCCAGTGGAATTTTTTGATGAAATTTTTTGAGCATGTTTCTCATCAAGTCTAGTTTATCCATACAAAATTTCATCTTAAAATTCGATCGGGAAGGCAGTCAAATAATTCGTTGAAGTTAACTGCGTTTTTCTATGTATAATTTTGCGCAGTTAACTTCATCAAATTATTTGACTGCCTTCCTGATCGAATTTTGAGCTGAAATTTGGTATGGATAAACTAGACTTGATGAGGAACATGCTCAAAAAAACTCATCAAAAAATTCCACCGGAAACCGCCCCAAACGGTGGTGTTCGGACGGCATTCGGACCGGAGGCTGATGGATCTGAGAATTTCTCTCTCTCTCTCTCTCTCTCTCTCTCTCTCTCTCTCTATATATATATATATATATATAGGGTGCGGCTCCAATGAGAATAATGCTTAACGTGAGAACGTGAGAATACTCACATTTAAATCAATGGGATGCACAATGAAGCTCTTATGTTGCATAATTTCAATTTGCTCGATTTAAGCCTCTATAAATAAAGACAGTGGCATTTTGGTAAATATTGTGAAAACGCAAAAAAGTGCAATATACAAGCTTCATTGTGCAACACGTTGGGGTAAATGTGATGTTCTCACGTTCTCACGTTAAGCACATTTATGGTTAAAGTGCTGCAAAATTTTAATGTGCACATTTATGTTTAAAATTTTGCATAGATGAAATGCACATTTTCCAATTTTTTATATGCACGTTTTAGTTTTACATGATGCACAATACTCAAATCCAACGCTTCAGAATCATTCTCATTTCTCTCCTAAGATGATATTCTCATTTGATCTCTCCTAAGATGATATAGGGTTTGGTTCAAATAAGAACACGATCTTAGGAGAGAAATGAGAATGAATCTGGACCGTTAGATTTGCTTTAAGTGAAATTCAGTGTGCATTAGATGAAATTGTAATGTGCATTAGGTGAAATTGAAATGTGCAGCACAAAGGATACGTACGATATAGTGACATTGTGTGAAGCTGAATTGTGCATTACGTCAAATTGAAATGTGCACTAGGTAAAACAGAAATGTGCACAATAAAAGGTACGATGTGCTGTTATTTTTGTACATTTTATTCTACACATTTCAGTTTCAGCTAATGCACACTTGAGTTTAAAATTTTATTTTGCACATTTCAATATTATCTAATGCACATTTCAGTTTCACCAAATGCACAATTCAGTTCCATATAATACAATCTAGCGGTCTAGATTCATTCTCATTTCTCTCTTGGGAGTCTGTTCTCACCGGAACCGCTCCCTATATATATGATTTTGGTTCAAATGAGAACGAGTCTTAACATGAGAACGTGAGAACACATCTCAGCCATCCAAAATCAATAACCATCTTCGATTAACTGATACCTGGGAAGGACAATTACGTCTTCTAACTTGTGGTGGTTGCATTGACCAGAATTTACGTTATTTTAACTTTCTGATCTTTCAGTGAATGCTGCGCACGTATAGGATTGGAAAGAATGGATTTTATTTCTTTTTTAAAATGTTTCCTTTAATAATCATCGTCTTCAACCTGCTTCTCTCACTCTGCGATGAATTTTTTCCTTCGTGTTAATCGTGTCCTGCAACCATCATCGATATTCTCTTTACACAATTTTACGATACCATTGATCTGTCATGGAACCAGGTATTTATGTCCTTAATTTCATATTTTAATGTAATGTTTCATGTCTGTGTTGTAGATCAGTGCTTATACAATTTTTTTATGTGTTCCACATCACCGTGCATGAAATAATCACACGTATTCAAAAGCTCGAACATTACTGGAATTTACTCTTGAATGCTATTCATTGTTAGTGTCGTTCATGTTAATTGGACAATGTGTAATTTTTAACTTCTGCTAAGTTCACAGTTCATGTTATCTGATGCTCATTTTATTGATCTATCATGCACAACTACGGATATGGTGGATGGAATCGTATGAGAACCAAGTACTTGTGAGATATCTCCCGGTATGATGAAGTATTGGATTCCAGAATGTAATAGTGATATTAAGCCCAATATTGGTAAGTTATTCAAAACTTTACAAGATGTTATTGACTTTTATAAGGAATATGCATATATAAGTGGCTTTGTTCCGCACCTTTCTACCCGGAGGAAGCACAAAGATGGTACGATTTTGTCAAAACATGTCGTTTGAAGTCGTCAAGGTTTTAAACCCGATGCAATTATCCTGAATGAAGGTCCTATTTCTTAATTGAGAATCTTAATGCAATTATCCTGAATGAAGGTCCTATTCACTACAAATAATTTTGATTAAGTTGCCAAACTGCCTCCTTGACTTCATCAGGAGTAGGAATCTCGGTGAGCATATTGTTATCAATCTGATTGACAATCTGAGGAATATAATGCATCAAATTATTGTAACTGACATGATGTTTCTCTGAATACAGGTCTGAGAAGAATTTGACAGCTTCATCTCCAATATCAGCATGTTTAGTAAGCAGGAGACCATCAGCAGTCTTTAGTGAGGTAATACCTTGCCTTCTATGCCTGATTTTAACAAAGTTGTGAAAAAACTTGGAGTTACTATCACCATATTTCAGCCATTGGATATGGGCTTTTTGTTTCCAATTTTTTTTCTCCAACTTGTATTTTTGAATCAGCAAGCTCTTTTTATGAAACCACTTTTCTCTATTGATTTCACATGGATCATTCTCAAAAAGTTTTTCAGAATCCAAAACCTCTTGTTCACAGTTTTTGATATCTTCAAAAATATCTCCAAAAACCTCCTATTCCAGATTTTAAGCTTCTTTTTAAGCACGTGAAGCTTCAAGACAATACCCCTCATACCCCCACCTGTTTGAACAGACTCCCATTTTTCTTTAACAAAAGCCATAAAGGACTTGTTATGAAACCAAATATTTTGAAATCTGAAACCTTTAGGACCTGATAAGTTTAGATTGGAAGTGATAGAGTATATTCTTAGAGAGAAGTGAGAGCTAGAGAGAGAAGTGCAAGTAAATGCTTCAATAGAATGATTTTGTAACCCCTACAACTACCTCCAGAGGAAGTATTTATAGGAAAAATGCGGGATGGGCTCCCAAGCCTTGGGATTGGGAGGCCCATTTACAACTGGACCGCTATTGGGCCGAATACAAAGTAAATGATGGGGTATATAAATGAATAATTGTAAAATATAGTTCTACGAGTCCTCTGTGGCCGACGAGGGTCAGGCCGACGAGGGCACGGCCGATGAGGACACCCTGGTTCCCTGGCTTCAGGATCATATTCTGAGTTGGTCCCTCTTCGGCCGACGAGGGCACTGCGTAGCGGCTTGTGCTTTCTGTTCTTCTGAGTATGTGGGTCCTGGGGCCTAGACCCATATACTCCATCAGGAGTCCCCCACTCTCTAAGCTGAGATGCAGACGAAGTGCAGGAGAGTAGATTTCAGTGCTTGATGCCCTTGGCCGATGCGGGACCACGCTAGTCGTTCCCTGTCGACGTTGGTGGCCCTGTTCTGAGTTTGGCCGTTACCTGTTCCTTGGCGTGGACGGGTAAGGCTGTTATTCCTTTGGTGCGCTTGTTGGTGGACGATGAGTGTTCTGGTATGAGTGGCCGATGAAGGTAGTGTCCATCCTTGGTCGTTGATGGTTTGAACCTTCTTTTGGGTCGTTGGGGCCGTTGGGGTTGTGTCTTGTTTTGGGTGGCCGGTGAGGGTGTTGTGCACTCCTTTTGGCCGTTGTTGATGACACTATGTGCCTTTGGATGACAAGGCGCCATATCGTCCAAGCTTTTGGGGATGTTAAACATTGTCTGGCCGGAGATGGAGTTGTGAGGACCTTGGAGCTGTTGTGATACATGGACGATAGTGATTCAGGTATGTTAACCTCCTGTTTTTTTATTCCTGGCTTGAGAGTGATGTGTGGTCTCAAAGCCGATAAGTGTCCTATGATCTCAAGCCATGCTGTGGCCGAAGGTGCACCACGATGTTATGGACGTTGTGGTGCATGTCTGAAGTTTGTAGTTGTGGACTTAGTATATTTTTGGATTTCTTTGATATTGTTCTGATTTGCAAAGGCCGGTGTAGTCCCCCAGTCCCCCACTGCTTCAGACCGAAGAGTGAGTGAGAGGTGAAGGAGTATCTTGAAACATAGGCCGAAGCGGGCTCCTCATACTACCCTTGGATCCAACCCTTTGGCGATTTCCTGACCAAGGTAACCCTGTGGGAGAACCCTTGGACGCAGGTCGCTTTCAAAGGGTTATCATCAAGGGTCTAGTGCGAGGGCCTCATGGCCGTTGGGTTGTTTTCCCTTAGGGTATTGTGGCCGTTGTAAGGCCTTCCTTTGCATGATATGTGTGGCTATCTAGATGGCCGATACGGGTGCTGTTGGGTAGCCGTTGTCAGTGTTGGCCGTTGAATGCCCTGGCCGTTGTGGGTGTTATTTTCCCCTTCCCTGTTCCGTGGAGCCTGCTTTGCCAGTGGGCTATTGGTCTGTGAATTGGGCTTGGCCCATTAATGACGTGGTGGCATCCCATTGGTGGCCGTTGGTGTGGCCACTAGGAGGGTGCCACGTGTAGTGACCGTTGGGGGGGCTCTATAAATACCCCTCCCTGTCCGACGAGAAACTCTCATTTGCAATCTGAGCTACCGAAGTGCTGGCCAAATTTCTAGAGACAGAAACTTCAAAGCAAGTGTTCTTCGTGTTCTTCGTGTTCTTCAAGGTTAGTTTCATCGAAATTCCTCTGTATTTTGTCTATTTTGCTTCCTAGGCCAGTGATCTAGTGTTAGTCGTTTGAAT